GAAAGTTCTGGAACAACTTCACGATTATAAGTAGCGACCCAGAACTAGGGGTAAGGGGACGGAAAAAAGATTGATGACATTTATGTTATTCTCTTGCTAACTTAAGCATCAGAGCCCGTGTGACTAGAGTCACACCGGTTTAGCTCGATTTGGTTTTGCAGGTACTTGTCCCGAATCATCAAGTTTGGTGGGTGCGAGGAGGAGAACCGGAGGGTCGAAATCCAGGCATCAACATATTGAAAATGTTGTTAACATTGCCAAGATAGAGATTTCCCCTTCTTTCTAAATAGGAAGAATAACATAGTCATAATATTTTCTTCCACTATTTGGACAGACATAAATATAACTAAACAGTTGCACCTCAATTAGGACACTTTCTTGGCATCATCACTACTCTTTGACCAATCAGTAAAAAGTACCTTATTGTTGATTCTACGAGTCTCCGAATAGGGTGATGTTTCAACCCCAATATTAGTGATAATATTAAAATAGCATTGAAAAAATACTGATGTCAAAAGTCTCAATTTGGCATGAACAATATATTAACTTATCCTTTTGCACAGGTAGAAACAAAATGAACAATCTTAACGTTAACTTCAAGAGAGAGTACACTTTCTTAATAAATTTCCAAAAGAAAACTATATTTTCGTGAAGTGTATCAAATCCATGTAAAATTGGTTGTCATCTAAGAGGTTATTACTAATTGAAAATAGGAGAAGGAAAATTCCCATCATCACAATAACATGGATTTCTATGTATTGCTGCCACTGTAGTTGAACCAATCACCAAATATATATTTTTTTAAATGTCTCGTCAAATAAAATGATGACGTGGCTATACATGTATTTATTTAAAAATGAACCGTACAAATTTTTTCAATACCACAATAGTAGTTCTATGGAAATTTCTCTGGATTGAACACCTTCCCCCTCGACAATATGCTCTATTCCTTGAACCCAGTTTTAAAGCACGGAAACTCAATTTGGGTAACATGTCGTCAAGTACATGTTGGACACACCAATATTTATGAAACACATGGAATACTTCCTAGTTTAATAGATGTGTGTCACACTAAAGTGAAATGTATTCTAATACTTGTTAGAAGCATAAAAAATAGACATAAATAGTAATATATGACAAAATAATAAAAATGATATATAATTTCAAAAAATGTACCCAATGTCCTAAATTTTTAGAGAATAGTATATCACCATGTCAATATCGTGTCATATCCGTATCTTGTGTCGGTGCTTCTTAGCATCCTTTAATAAAACCTAATTTATGAAGATTAGCGGAATGAATCAAATCTCAAATACAACAATGTATGTAATAAACTTCCAAGCAACTCTGACAATTTCCATCACTAAACTCAACAATATACCAATATCTAAAGTTACCCAAGTTCCATATAAAGATCATGTCAAAGTCGTACAAAAAAAGCGGAAAGCTTAAAAATGGGAAAGAAACAATCTGACCTTGTCTTTCCATTGCACACGAAGATCAAACCACCAAGCTAAGTGTTTGAGCTCGAAATTACCAAGCTCGGACCAGTATTAGATCGAAACGTACAGAATGAGCTTCTGGCCGCTGTTCCACAACTTCCCAGACCCCTTACGAAACTTGCAAAACAGAGTTAGCACTCCGACGAGCAAGTTAGTTTGAGTCCGAGCTAACTTGCCGAGTCTATCTAGGATTGCGTACCTTGCACTTAAGGCTAAAGTTTCTATTTATAGAAACTGGGCCTGACAGGAACCCTGACACACCTTAAAAATACGGCGTGTTGTCGAGTTCGGAAGAAACACGTTTACGGACTCCGTTTAAGGTCGGCTCGTTCTTTTAGCTCGGCCTGTGCCCGCCGACCTGAACAACCTTAGGAAAAATTCTAATTTCATCCACACGTCAATTCGGCTTACTTGTCTGATCATGACACGTGGCAGGTCCAAGTTTGCATCCAACATTGGCCCCCATTTCGGCGTGGTGTAGGTCGGCTCGGCGAAGTAGTTCGAGCTAAGCGAAGGTGGCCGAATCCACGCGTCTATGGGTGACGTCACTGATGTTGTCAGCCCTAATTCCTGCCTCGAGAACTCAAACGTCGTTGCGAAAATTATCTCTCGTGGGCAAATCGCATCCGTTGATTCTCCCCCGATCGGACGACTCTCGTGCTTCCGGGCTGTCCTATAAATGGCGGCGTGTCTTTCATTTTCACTTTTCACTTTTTCACTCTCGAGTTTTCGTGTACCTCGGCCGTTTCCAAGTCAGGTACTCTCTCCTTCTTTCTTTAGGTAGTTATTTTAAGCCTTCCCATTCAGGTCTGACGATGAGTAGCTCGTGTAGTGAGTCGTCGTCTTGGAACCGTAACCCTGGTCCAGTAGCCGATTTTCCTCCCTTGACTTGCTCGGTAGGTAGGTTGGTCGAGCTTTGCAAAACCTTCCTAATCCCCAACTCCGTAGAGCTTAGGGTACCCAACATCGGGGAGCACCTCGACGACCCTCCTCCGAACTTCGTCAGTTTCTATCCCCAGATGTTCAATAGGGGGTTAGGCTCCCACTTCATCCCTTCATCCAAAAGTTCCTTAGCGCGGTTAACCTTGCCCCAGGTCAGCTCTCCCCTAA